GACATGCAGGAGTGAGCAAGGACATGCAGGAGTGTGTCAGAGTGTGCAAGGACGTGAAGGAATGTGCAAGAGGATGCATGTGCAAGCAAGGACATGTAGGAGTGTGCCAGAGCGTGCAGGAGTGAGCAAGGACACGTAGGAGTGTGCAAGGATGTGAAGGAATGTGCAAGAGGATGCACGTGCAAGCAAGGACATGTAAAAGTGTGCCAGAGCGTGCAAGGATGTGTAGGAACATGCAAAAGGATGCACGTGTGTGCAAGGACACGCAGGAGCGCACAAGAGCATGCAGAAGTGAGCAAGGACATGTAGGAGTGTGCCAGAGCGTGCAAGGATGCATGGGAGAGCGTGCAAAAGCACACACATGTGTGAGCAAGGACGTGCAGGAGCATGCGAGAGCATGCAGGAGTGAGCAAGGACATGTAGGAGTGTGCAAGAGCACGCAGGAGTGAGCAAGGACATGTAGGAGTGTGCCAGAGCGTGCAAGGATGTGTAGGAATGTGCAAAAGGATGCACGTGTGAGCAAGGACACGCAGGAGCGTGCAAGAGCACACAGGAGTGAGCAAGGACATGTAGAAGGGTGCCAGAGCATGCAGGAGTGAGCAAGGACATGTAGGAGTGTGTCAGAGTGTGCAAGGACGTGAAGGAATGTGCAAGAGGATGCACGTGCCAGCAAGGACATGTAGGAGTGTGCCAGAGCGTGCAAGGAGGGGGGGGGGGGGAGGAGGCCCTCCGAGGAGACCCCTGTCCCTCACCTGCCAGAGCTTTGATGCGGGAGCGCTCGAAGAGCCGCGCCGAGCTGTTGTCGTTGTCCAACTCATCGTCGGAGGCGTCCCAGCGGACGTTGATGCGGCTGTACTGCTGCTGCAGCTCCAGCTGCTCGTAGTCGTTGGCCGAGGTCATGGTCCCGGTGGCCCCCGACCCCCCGGGGGTGGCCCTCGGCTACCGGCGAGAGGCCCCTGGTGAGAGGGTGGGGGTGGCCGTTGGGGACAGGGGACAAGGCCGGGAGGGCTCCTCGGTGGCCCCCACGGCGCGGCACGCGGGGATTTGCGGCTCTGAGCCCGGTTAAGCAGCTCAGAGGGATTTAACCTCCCCTCCTCCCCAGGTGTTGGGGGGCACCTGGGTGCTGCACGCACCGGGGTGGGTTGGGGGGGGTGAGTTGGGGGGGTCACCCTACCCCCATAACCAAACCGTGCCCCTTCCCCACCCCGGTGGTCCCCCCAGCCCACCCCAGGGGTGTCC